TGGTTTATAATCAGCTATAGGACTTTGACAGGTGCTCTTAAGTGCACATTTCTAATAACTTTGGATATTGTAACATTAGAGTAGAAGAAAAAACTTTCAGGACTCTCATGGAGAGCTGAAATGTTCATGAATATCAAGCAGAACAGGAGTTAATTGCATAGACTGAACTAATAGAAGACTGAAGTAATCTTTTTGACTTTTTTGCTTAAAACATTGCTGATACTTTGTTTTGTTTTTCAAAGCCAAGAAAACTTTCAAGCTACTTACAGCTTTTAACAATTGAGTAAAGTCTATTCCTGTAAACCAAATTTGGAGCATATTTATTTATCTCTACCTGATTTCTCCAGAATTGGAAATTATTTGCGAGCATTCTTAACTTATGGCAATATAGTTATTTGCATAAGTGCAATAAGTATCTGTTTTCTTTTGTAATAGGACACAATTGGATACACTGGTTACCTTACCAAGGTTTTGACTGGAATGGCATGCTTTCTTTTAAGGAATCAAATTTCACTTACAAAGCCAATAAAAGCCTCTTGGGAAGCTGCCCTCACCTCATACCTTGTTTATATAGTACCTGTATAGAGTTCCGGACTTGTGATAAGTAAAGAATGTCAGTTTTTGACAGGCCCAGGAGCCCCAGATTATCTTGTGACTTCAAGAGAAGAGGAACTTACCCAACTCATAGGTATTTGACAGCACAACCCCATAGCTGGGTTGGGCTTTTAAAAAAAGTCTTATCTAAGATTTCTTTGATGGAATAAAAGTTCCATCAAAACCGATTAAAATAAGCCTATGTGGCAAATAATTCTTCTTGCTGCACTTTATACAAATAATCAGGCCAAGTATAATAAGGCAAATCCGTTTACCATAATTTGTATTTAGTAAAAATGGGAGACTGAAGAGAGAAAAACTATGTTTCAAGAACTATGGTACAATTGTTATTAGATTCTAACCTCATCAGTTCTTTTTGAGAATTTTTTTCCCCTGAAATTTAGACTGACTGCTTATTTCTGTGAACCAATCAGTGATCTCTGGCTGCTGCTCAAATGAAACAAGGGGGATGGATAATGTAAAAATCTAGATCAATATTCTAATTCTGGGCATATACTGGAATCAGGTAGTGACACTATATCAGCTTGGTTTCAAATTGCCCAGTTCATGGAAAGATTTTTTATCTAGTTTACTTAGGATAATTTTGCTTATTTTGCTTTACTGTTGTGGAATATATTGCTGCTGTACTCTCCATGTAAGAATTCAGGATAAGTTTACTCAATGTTATCTTAAAGCAAACACTTATTAATCTTCCAGATATCGCCTTTTGTCAGAGTTATGGATGGCCCTCACCATACTGATGCTTTCTGACTGAGCTCCTCTCTAGCCCAAATACAAGAGATCCTAGTAGTTAGGCAGGAATATCATCACCCCTATTCAGCCTGAAGAAGCTACAGATGGATCTTTGTCCCTCTACAATGCTTAGCATTAAGGGTTCTCTTATAAAAGGGAGGTGGGAAATATATCAGAGGCGTTTGAACCAGAGCAATTCCATCTTGAATAGCGGCTAGGTAAAATAAGGCTGAGACTTACTGAGCTGCATTCCTAGGAGGTTAGGCATTCTAAGCCACAGGATGAGACAGGAGGTCAGCACAAGGTACAGATCATAAAGATGTGATAAACAAGCTGGTCAAATTGCATCAAAACCAATGTGGCCAAGAAAGTGACCTCTGGTCGTCCTCAGCACTCATTATATGCTAATTATAATGCATTAGTATGCTAAAAGACACTCCCATCAGCACCATGACAGTTTGCAAATGCCAAGGCAATGTCAGGAGGTAATCCTATATGGTCTGGAAAGGGGAGGAGCCCTCAGTCCTGGAAATTGCCCACCCCTTTCCCAGAAAACTCATAAATAATCCACCCCTTGTTTAATGTATAATCAAGAAATAACTATCCTTGGTGGAGCAGCCTAAGCTGCTGCTCTGCCTAAGGAGTAGCCATTCTTTATTCCTTTACTTTCCTAATAAACTTGGTTTTCACTTAAAAGAAAAATAAGTGGCCGGGTGCAGTGGCTCACTCCTGTAATCCCAGCACTTTGGGAGGCCGAGGCGGGCGGATCACCTGAGCTTGGGAGTTCAAGACTAGCCTGATCAACACAGTAAAACCCCATCTCTACTAAAAATACAAAATTATCTGGGTGTGGCAGTGTGCAGCCTGTAGTCCCAGCTACTTGGGAGGCTGAGGCAGGAGAATTGCTTGAACTCAGGAGGTGGAGGTTGCAGTGAGCCCAGATCGCGCCACTGCACTCCAGCCTGGGCAGCAGAGCAAGACTCCATCTCAAAAAAAAAAGGAGAAAACCACTAAATTTGTGGTTATTAGTTTCACAGTGATAGAAAATGAATACAGCAAGAAATACCATGTTTTTATTTCATTTAAATCAAATCTTATACAATGCCGAATCCTCATACTGCAGGCCTGGCACGATATTCAATCCCTTACACTACTGAGGCCCTTTCCTCTTCCAGTAACCGGATCTCCTTTTCCCAGGATGGTCCTTTTCCCAGGCATGGTCCTAAGATTGTCCTCAGTCTTTACTACCCAAACTCCCCTGAGGCAAAGGAGCATAAAAGTCTGGTTTTCTACCTGAAGTTGGGAGACAAACAAAACATACATTAACATCTCAATACATTATCTTGACACTAGTAAGTTGGCTGTATCCCATAAAGGGTATCTTACTTCCCTTTCTGGTGTCTTGGCACTTCCTAGAAGCTGAGTCACTGATAGTCTGATACTTGGGTCTGCCCCAAGGTGGTAACCTCACCTGCAAGTTTCCTCAGGCTTCTGAAGGTCATTGTTCACAAACCTGGATATTGGGTGAATTTCTTCCTTCCCATAGAGAAAAATGACTCTCCTTTCTGAATTCTGTGTCCTGCCTGGATGGAAGCTTTCTTTGATTCTACCATAGACTTGTAGGTGATTTTCTTCATAAGGAGCAGAGATGGAGGAGGAGACCATTTAGGTCTTTGGCAATATTCTATGTAAGAGATGATGGGGGCTTGAACCAGGGCAGAAGTAGTAGGCAAGATAAATGTTTGGATTTTGAATACTTTGAAGGGTAAAGCCAATAATCTGATATGGTGTGTTAAAAAGGAAGCCCAAAATAAGTACGCTCACATCAACCTAAAAGCAAGGAGTAGAGGCAAAATTAATATAGAGAGTTTATTTGGGCCAAGGTTGAGGACTGCAGCCTAGGACATATTTCCAGGTTGCCGTGGAGAGTGCTATGGAGAAACAAATGGGCTGGAGTTTTTAAAGAAAAGAGAATGAATCAGCAGAGGGGGGCATTACAAAAGTTATTTCTCAAGAAATGTCATTTATTTGCAGAAATAACATTAGTTAGTGATTGGCTATACATGTGGTTGAATAGGGTATACGGCATTTTATGGCTACTTGGTGTCAGTCTAGGGCTTGCATAGCAAGTGGCTTCAAGAGGTAATTATTTAGCTCAAGGGAGAGTGAGACATGACTGCTTGCATTCCTTAGATAAGAAGTTTTTTTCTTCTTATCATCTGTCATCTCATACCACACAACTGGGAGTCGAGGGACCTTACATGACTTGAGCACATTTCGCCTCTTGAAATTAAAGATGAGCAGCTTCCTTTCGTTTAAAGATAAGTCACATGACAATTTAATTTTGGCAGTTAAAGAATTGGTTCCCCAACCTAAATCTGCAGCCAAGATGAATTTTCTGATTCACCTCCTTCCCTACAGTTTCTGGGTTTTGTTTATCCTCCAATTCCAAATGGCATAATTGCTTTCTTTCTCCCACTCTACACCCATCACCAGCCGGGTGTTTCAACTTTTTCTATCTCTCAAATAGGATGCTCCAAAGGAAAAGAGAGGTGCTATTTCTGAGGGAAAAGAATGTAGGATAGTTGAAAACAACAGCACGGTATTTTCTTCACAAACTTGATTTTAAGATGACTGAAAAATCTAAAAGTGAAATAAACATTTTAAGAAATACAGTATTTGCTCTATTACTCTGTGTTGTCTACTTTGCTTCACATTTAAGCTATTACAACTATAGAGTTAAGACAATTGTGATTCCTAAACTTAATTCACATGATTGATGAAAACCAAGCTTAATTCTCTGTTTAAATGTTGTGTACTGCTGGAAGTAACACATAGCATTAATAAATAAAAGGAATTCGACACCCATCTTGGGTAAAAAGCATTTCTGCCTTCATTCTAACATAGATTTCATTTTGGCTTTTAAAAAACAGCTACTGTGCTATACCGCCGTATCCGGTAGTTGTAAATACTGGGCAATGTTACCTTTCTAGGGCTTGTTTCCTCATACATAAAACCTATTGGTACCCCAGGCCAGCTCTCCTATTGCTTCCTGATCCGGGACAATCTAAAAACCTAATTTAAGAAATATTTGGTGTCCAGTGTAAAATAGTGTGCTTGATGTCTTATTAGCACAAGCCATAGAAGAGCAGGAAATTCATATAATGAAACGGACCAGCTGTGAGTAGTTTCCAGTGGATATAACCTCTCCTTTGTTGGCCTTTAAATAATAAGTACATCAGCTGCTGCAACTGCGATGCATGCACTGTGGAAATCCTGCATATTCTTAAACTGCCATCCCAAGGCAGAAAATGCAGAATTCCTTTTTATTTTGACTTTTAAAGGGGTTAAATTCGGGCGTGGTCCTGGGGTGCTCTCGGGGAGGTTTCCCTTACCTCTCCCGGTGAGGCTACTTAACCTCACCAGCACTCCAACGCTGCCCACACTTTCCTACCCGGTCCCACTGGGCACGGGCCAATCGGCTCGTTCCTTCCCAGCGGCAGGGTGGAACCTGGAGCCTGGACTTCGGAGACCCGCCCCCTGTACGTGGCGTGCGTGCATGGCGCTACGCGACGCGGGCTGCTTTCTCCAGCGTGTGGCGCCCCCTGGCGGTAGCCGGGCTTCGATGCCACGGCCTGACCGGAGTGTCCGCCATGGAGTCGCAGAAAGAGGCGCGAATACTCCAGGAGCCCGTGGCGCGGCCTCCTGGGGCCTCAAGGTCTCAGACGCCGAACGCCAAAGAGCGGCAGGAGGGCGGCCCTGTGCCGGCGGCGGCTGCCCTAGGTGCAGAGGCGGACGACGACAGTGCGGACGGGCTGTGGGAGCTGCCGGTGGAGCCGGCCAAACGGAGGCCCGAATGCAGCCGCTGCAGGTGACCGCGGGGCCGGGGGCGGGGACTGCAGCTGGCAGCGGCCTTTGGAGGAGGCTGCGGCGCCCCCTGCCGGGGTATCGGCGGCTCGGGCAGCTCTGCGCTTAGGTTGGCGGAGTTGGCGGGTGCACGTTGGAAATCTCGGAAATGCCGGGCACAGCTACCTAGTAAGAAGCCCTTTTTCCAGGTTCATGATTATTTAACCTTACTTCCTGCAATATATTGAGCGTGTCATGGGATGAGCAGACATCGTTTCTGTTTCCAAGAAGCTTAAGCGTCCGATAGGGAAATAAAGGGTGATGACAATAATACTTGTAGTATAGTTACACAGTCATACTTAAGTGGCATAGTCGTATCACAGTTAAAACACATAAAGTGGATTGAAGGAGAGAGACAGTCTCCTTTGCCTATCCTACCAGAACTCTAAATATAGGGCCTTTTCAGGTCTTCATTCTAGGCTCTCTTCTAACCCTACAGACGTCCCACTGGTAATTTTTAAAATCAGTTTTCATGGTAATTTATCATTTATATCCCAATGTGTCTCAGACCTTTATTCTGAGCACAAGATCTGTGCATTAATTTATCAGGTGTTTATTGAGTGCTTTGATAATCACTGACAATGCAATGGAGTCCGTGTCTTTATGTATTCTCTTACTGAATACGGATAATAAACCAGCAAACAAACTATCCAATATGTAATTACAAACTGAGAAAAAAACAATGAAGGAAAGGAATGGGATGCTCTTATAAAAAATAGCTAGATGGTGTCGTGAACTATCTCTGAGATTTGAAAGATGAGAAGATTCCAGCCTGGGGAAAAGCATTCCAAGAAGGGGAACAGAAGGACTGAATATGGTTGAAGGTCTTTACTGCTTGAGTACTTGGAGTTTGTTACTTTGGACATTTTGACCTTTTCCTAGGGCTCTATTGTAAGACTTAAGAGGAAAGGATCTGAAATATAGAATGTTTTTATATTTTCTAAGTATACTATGTATAGTTGACCTCTGAGGAGGATGGAAAATTTGTGATTAGAAGGGACTGTGAATTTGAACATAGGGGTTTGTGAATGTAATTAATTTAAACAAGTTGTCTCAGGGGGTTAGGGGAAACATTTAAAAGTGTTTGGAGGAGTCTCAATAGGATACTGAAAGAAAAGTGTTTCAAATATAAATCAAAGGCTAAATTACTGTGCTAGCTTTATTATGTAGTTTTTAGTCTGTTCAGAATTGTTAATTATAAATATATAGTTAAAAATCTGTTTAGCAGATATTTATTTTATGATGCTTTCTAAAAAATAAAAATGACTTGCTGAATTTTGTCTTTTTTTCAGTTACATTTAGTTAATACCTTAGGATTACAATTTTTCCCAACATTTCTGCACTTCGCTTATTTCTGGTGAAATTTGCTACCTGTGAAAAGCTCTCCTCCCTCTTGTCATGCTATGCATTTTATTTGCTTTAATTAGGTAGAATATAATTCTAGAATTATGGAGAATATTTAGGTGTTGTCAATAAGACAGAAATGAATTGATGGCTTTTTATATTTTATTTCATTAGGTTATTAGAGTTCTACTAGTACCCTGCGTGAACTTCTTTACATTTATGCTTAAAATAGTTTTAAAAATGCATTCTTAGATTTGATTGATCATTGAGTCACAGTTATTTGACTATTTACTTAAACTATATTCATTTCTCTGAACACATTACTACAAATGTCATAGCCTAAGGGAGTTCCAGAAATTAGGTTTGTTCAGGAAGTGCAAACTCAGTTTAACTTTTCAGCAGAATCTTGCTTGTTAGAAATATAACATATCTTCAATATGAATGGAATATTCTTTAAAAGATCCCAAACTTGTAGTTTATTATTGCAGGATATAGGTTCTATAAATGTATTCTGTCCTCTATGTATATCTTGTTTACAAAACCTGCCTGTATTCCATTTACCTCTTAGAATACCTTTCCTATCCCCCATTGCTGAACATATAACATTATTTTTTTTTCAGATAAAGACAAAGCCTTGGTTGATCTCCCCAGAGTATGTATCATTAGCGTTATTTGAGATAAAATAAGAAGGATGAGGGTCATGGGACATAGTAGGTGCACAAAAGATTTGTTGAACTACTTGGTAAAATTCAGTTGTTCAACAAATATTTTTGGAGACCCTACTTCCAGACAGTGTGATAGACTATGAAATACAAAGATGAAAAAGAGATGACTTCAGTTCTCCTGTAGATCAGGACCTAGTGGAAAGTGGCATATCTATTTAAATGGGGAGCCCTCAGATTAAAAATCCGATGATGTAGGGCAGCTTTTTCAAATTATAGGTAATGAACCACAGTGAAACTTTTGTTATATGCATCCTTGTACGTAGTAGAGAATGTATTCAAAAAGAATTTGACAAACATCAAATTTTTGAGGCTCTGAAGAAAACAGCAAAAAGTGTTTTCTGAATTTTTCAAAGTAAAAGCATTTGTAAAATAACTTTGTTCAGGTTAAAATCATTTTGCTAATTTAAACATCTTATTTAAATTATATGACCTCAGATTGGAAAGATTTAAACACTTTTTATATGTGTTTGATATCCTTCGGCAGTCTTCGAAATTAGGCCGTCATGGAGTAAGAGTCAAAAGGCGAAAGGGTGCATGTTCACCAAGTAGTGCTTCTGAGATTTTACTAGAGTCTTTAATTTTGTTAGGAAATAAAATGTAATGTTCGTGTGTATATGTATGTATATATGTGTATATATGTAAAATGCACGTAAGCATGTGGTCTTTTTCTTGTTGAATTCTACACTATCAGCTTCTTTCTTAGATGTGTATATGTGAGGTGTTATAGGAACATATAAAAAGGTGCTCCTAACCCTAAGTTTGTGTGGTGGAGATGAGGAAAAGATCTGGGAAATCTTAGAAGTGACATGTAAGCTGAGACTGAAGGACATAACAAAATATTTAACCTGGATTCTAATATTTAGGATTAATTAGGGAAGAGACTGGCTGGGGGAGGACTTGAGGGAGGAAAAAGTGAGCTCTGGTTGAGGGAACAGTATGTATGAGAGTTTAGGGCATAGAATGTATAGTGTATTTGGAGAGTTTGGGAGAAGGCATGGAGTGGTGAAAGACAAGGCTGCAGAGATTAGTAGTGGTTGCCTCAGAAAGGGCAAAATAAACTATGTCAGGGAGTTTGGGCCTAATGCTCTATAACCCAACAAGCCAGCCACAGTAATATTTTTATATTTGAAAGGTGGTGACAAATTTGACTTTTGTAGGTGACTTTTGCTGTATAATTTATACTTTTTCATTTTATAAAAAAAGCAACTGGATGGTGATAAAAGGATACAAGCTTGACTGGGAAGAATTAGGGCCTCATTCCAGAAATATTTTAGGCATCTTAATTGTACTTTTGTATCTTCTGCAGATACTGCTATGCATTTGAGGATGGGTCATAAACGACTTGCAAATCATTGGTCATAGGAATAATAGAATACTGTCTAAAAACAGTGTGTTTTAATTCCCGTTTAAGGGAAGAAACAGCAGGGAGAGCATGCACACAAACTGAATCAGATAGACCCTGAGATGGAAGTTTTTGTGTCTCGAGTGTTTTCTTTTCAAAAGTAACAAGCTGTAAGAATTATAATAAACCATTTCTACATGTTTAACACCCTTTTACTAAACATCAGCCATCTACCAGGCACATACTAGGCCTAGGTATTTTATATATGATAATATTTTATTTAGTTCTTGTTTAGATTGCTGCTGCTTTTTTTTTTTTTTTTTTTTTTTTTTTGAAACAGTCTTGCTCTGTCACCCAGGGTGGATTGCAGTAGTGCAATCTCGGCTCACTGTAACCTCCACCTCCCAGGTTCAAGCCATTCTCCTGCCTCAGCTTCTGGAGTAGCTGGGACTACAGGTGCCTGCCACCATGCCTGGCTAAGTTTTTTTTTTTTTTTAAGACGGAGTTTTGCTCTTGTTTCCCAGACTGCAGTGCAATGGTGTGATCTCAGCTCACTGTAACCCGTGTCTCCCAGGTTCAAGCGATTCTCCTGCCTCAGCCTCATGAGTAGCTGGGATTGCAGGCATGCACCACCATGCCTGACTAATTTTGCATTTTTAGTAGAGATGGGGTTTTTCCATGTTGGTCAGGCTGGTCTCGAACTTCTGACCTCAGGTGACCCGCCTGCCTTGGCCTCTCCAAGTGCTGGTATTACAGGCGTAAGCCACTGCGCCCAGCCTAGGTTTTGTATTTTTAGTAGAAGCAGGGTTTCCGCCCTGTTGGTCAGGCTGGTATCGAACTCCTGACCTCAGGTCATCAGCCTGCCTTAGCTTCCCAAAGTACTGGGATTATAGGTGAGAGCCACTGTGCCTGGCTACTGTTTGCTTTTAAATGATGAGGGAATAGAGGTAGCAGGCAAGTAGCAGAATTGGTTCTCTAGCTCCAGTCCACTTGGCTCCCTAGCTCATGCAAGTACTTGATCTCACTCCAGGCTCCTTGCTGAAGAAGCGTTAAGATTTTGTTTGTACAGTAGGTATTGTCACCAGTTGAAATGGCATCACTAACGCTGCAAGATTTTCAGGCTTTTTAAGTTAGTAACAGGATGCTGAGTTTTAGTATTTTCTCTGGCTTTTAAATTCCACATATCATAACTTTTTCCTTATTCTTTAGGCTTGGATATTCTGGAGGAAAAAGTGATGGGGGGAACATCATAAGAGAGAAACAGAGAGATAGAGTCAGGGAAGGAGAGAGAGAAGGGAAGACTGCAGGTGTTTAAGAAGAATGCGCGAGCCACAAACTGGCAGTCTACAGATGTTTTGCTTTGAACTGTGTTTTTCAGCTTTTAAATTAGTTGCTAATAGTTCAAAATCAAGATGTTTTATATAAAAATTCAGATTTCTGGCTTTCGTTGACAGTGGAAAGATCTGACAGCTTCAGAGACCACCTTCCTGAGCAGTATTTGGTTAAGCTCAGTATTATTGGCTGTGCCCTTATATTGGGCATGATCTCTCCAGGTCACCATAGCTCCTAGTCATTCCTGCTGAACTCATTAGTGGTTAACTGCTGGCCCCTCATAGGCATTCATGTTTTGATTCTGGGTCTCCTGTACATCATTGTGGTTGTCTGACTGAGCAACTGGTAAATCGGTCTTCAAGTTTGGTGGGAAAAGTGAAAAGCGGTAATTCCCAGGGTAGTTAATGTAGAATAATTGAAACTGTTGAATCAGTATCATCACTTAGAAAACAAACTATTTTGGGCTGGGCGCAGTGGCTCATGCTTGTAATCCCAGCACTTTGGGTGGTCGAGGTGGGTGGATCACAAGGTCAGGAGATCGAGACCAGCCTGACCAACATGGTGAAACCCCGTCTCTACTTAAAATACAAACAAATTAGCTAGTTTTGGTGGTGAGCACCTATAATCCCAGCTACTTGGGAGGCTGAGGCAGAAGAATCTCTTGAACCTGGGAGGCGGAGGTTGCAGTGAGCCGAGATTGCACCACTGCCCTCCACCCTAGGTGACAGAGTGAGACTGCGTCTCAAGGGAAAAAAAAAAAGAAAAAAGAAAAAAGAAAACTGTTTTGGTAAATTTAAAATTGGCTAGATTATTGATGATTTTTAGGGTAAAAATTTGGATATTCTGAAGCTTAATTTTTGTACATATTAAAGATATATTCTCAAGAGAAAATTATTACATTAATTTGTTCTTTCCTGTTGGTATAGAAAATATGTTCTTTGAAATAGTTCATTCGTAATATATGTGGAAAGCTAACTGATTTACAAATCACTGTGCAGGCTAATTGTATGTCCAAAGTTGAGCAAAGGTGATATATGTCAAGAGGGAATTTTTTCATAACCTTAATTAAGTCTTCAAAGAGGAATGGCCAGTTTTAAAAACCACATTAGAGCTTTCTAAGTGTTTGATTTATTTTCCCTAGGAAAAATAGGAATTATATTTTTACCCTCTGATAGGTAGAAGTTTTCTTCAAAGACTGTAAAAGCACGTTAATTCCTTGAGTTCATTTGCCCAAAATTAATAATTCATAGTTTCTATTAGTGCTTATGTAGGTAGAGAATATATTCAGAAATAGTCTTGCCTAAAATTTGGTATCACTTGAAAAGAGTTCACAGTACTTTTACATTTCTGTTTAATACATGAGACAACCTTATGATTTAAATAGTGTTATTCCGTTTTATAGACTCTTACAGTCAGATGGCTAATAAGAGGCAGAGCTGCTTTAGCGTTCATCTTTTTATTGCTATACCACGTAATAATGAATTATACTTAAATGAGCAGTATGACTGCATTTGTTTTCTTGCATATAATAAGTATTTACATGAGGGGTTTCTTTGCCTTCTTCTAATCTAAAGATTCTTTACCTTTGGTCATAGGTATTTTTAATTATTTTGAGATGAGCAATTTTTAAATTATTGTAATTTTTAAAGTCAAGCCTGTATCTCCTAAATTCTTTATCTGTCTGTGATGAAATTCTCATTTCTATTGCTAGCTTTTCACTTTTATGTTAGAAAGGCAGATTTGGGAAGGCTGAGGTGGGAGGATCATTTGAGCCCAGGAGTTCGAGGCTGCAGTAAGGTAAGAAGGTGCCACTGCACTCTTGCCTGGGTGACGGAGTAAGACCCCATCTCTTAAAGAGAGAGAGAGAGGTTGAATTTTTTTTTTTTCTGCTGAGTTTATTGTTTGTTTGCTTGTTTTTCATTTTTCACTATTGGAAACCTAGTTGAAAAGTTATGTATTGAGCCTATTGACCTTGCAAAGAGTAGAGAAATTGACCTGATACAAATGTCTCTCATCTGTTTATTTATGTAGACAAGTTATTTGACAGTCTAATTCTTTTTTTAAAAATTGTGGTAACATTTACACAATATAATATTTATCATTGTAACCATTTAAGTGTACAGTTTAGTTACATTAATATATAATGTTGTATAGCCATCACCACGATTTATACTCCAAACTTTTTCATCATCCCTACATAAACTCTGTCTGTTAAACTATAATTTCCTATTCTTCCCTTCTGTCAGTCCCTGGTAACCTCTATTCTGCTTTTTGTTTCTATGAATTTACCTATTCTAGATTTAACTGGAATCATATATTTGTCTATCTGTGTCTGGCTAATTTCACCTAGCATAATGCTTTCAAGGTCCATCCATGTTGTAGCAATGAATGAAAATTTCACTTAATTCTGTGGCTGAATTGTATATATTAAACCACATTTTGTTGATCTATTATCCATTCCTCTGTTGATGAATACTTGGGTTGCTTTTACCTTTTGGCTATTGTCAATAATGATGCAATGAACGTTGGTATACAAATAATCTGCTCTAGTTCCTGCTCTCAGGTTTTTTAAAATATATATTTTAGGTTGGTACAAAAGCAATTGTGGTTTTTACCATTACTATCTAGGAGTGGAATTGCTGGGTCATATGGTTTTATGTTTAACTTTTTGAGGAATTGTCAAGCTATTTTCCACAGTAGCTGCACCATCTACATTCCCACCAGCAATGTATGCACCTTCTGTTTTTTCCACATTCCTGCCAACACTTACTATTATCCATTTTATTATGCCCATCTTAGGAGGCATAAAGTGATATTTCATTGTGGTTTTGATTTATATTTTGCTGACTAATAATGTTGAACATCTCATGCTTTCGGCCATTTGCATATCTTCTTTGGAAAAATGTCTATTAAGTTCTTTTGGCAGGCGAATTGTAATGAGTGGGCTCTAAAGTGAGGCTGCCTGGGTTTAAATCCTGGCTCTGTGACATTGAACAACAAGTTACTGAACATCTTTGTATTTCACCTTTGCCAAATGTAAAAGTGAGACAATAATAGTTATCTCTACCTCACAGTGTTCTTAAGAGGATCAAATCATTTAATACAATAGAGCGCTTAGAACAGTGCCTTTTGTATAGTAAATGCTCAATAAATGTTAGTTGTATTTAATTTTAGGAATCTGAGAATGCTTTGCCTTGACTTATGAAAGAAAAGTGAATTCTGGTTAACATGTAAAATATATTTTTTAAAGCTTCAGAACTTTTTTGTGGTAGAATACATAAAACATCCAATTTACTATTTTAACCATTAGAAAATATATTAATTTTGAAATGAAGTATGGGATGATTAAAGAAGAAAGAAAATATAAGATATTGTTCAGTAGTGATAAGAACACAACTGAATTGGTTTTGTTTTACCAACTCTGCACTAATCAGCTGTGCAACTTTGGGTGAAGTACTTGAATTCTTGGTGCTTTTGTTTATCTGTAACAAATAGCCTACTTTATAGGATCAGATTAATGTACATGAAAGCAATTAATACAGGAAGTATGCATAACTTTTACGAGGTAATGGAACGGTTAATACCTATCTTTGGAAGATAATGTTTTTTTAAGTTTTTTTATTTTTATTTTATTTTTTGTTTGGTTTTATAAGTAAACTTATCTCATTATAATTGCTCTTGTGGCAAAAGTCATGACACTGTCCTGAAAGCAAGTTGCCTTGTAATGAGATCTTTGTGGTATTTAAGTACAGTCTTCCCTTGCCATAGGAGAGTAATTTGTTCCTGAGTCACTCCACACTCACCCCTAGTAGAGTGAATTCTGGAAAGCACAATTGTCTTTGAAATTGATGATACACAGTTACCTAAGTAGTTAACAAAGCATATATATGATACTTAATGTGCTTGACATTGAATCTTTTAATGCAAACCCCCAGAATAACTCACTGAAAAAAATGCAATAATTACCATTGCTATAGCAAACCATGAATTCTTTGAGAGAACCTGATGTAATATATATCAATTATATAGTGGCAATGATGACACCATTACTATTGTATTAGTACGTTTTCATGCTGCTGATAAAGGCATACCGGAGACCGGGCAATTTACAAAGAGGTTTAATGGACTTACAGTTCCACGTGGCTAGGGAAGCCTCACAATCATGGCAGAAGGCAAGGGGAGCAAGTCCCGTCTTACATGGATGGCAACAGGCAAAGAGAGAATAAGGAAGAAGCAAAAGCGGAAACCCCTGACAAAATCATCAGATCTCATGAGACTTACTTACTACCATGAGAACAATATGAGGGAAACTGCCCCGATGATTCACTTATCTCCCACGGGCACTCCCACAACATGTGGCAATTATGGGAGTACAATTGAAGATGAGATTTGGGTGGGACACAGAGCCAAACCATATCAACTATTATATTATTATTATTATTTTTTGACATGGAGAGTTAGTATTTGGCTACTGATTGATTTTATTCTTAACTTTTAGTTTTGAAGTAGTTTTAGACTTACTGAAAGTTGTAAAAATTGTACTGAGAGTTCTGTATATCTTTTACCCAATAACTCAATATGGTTATTATACATAACCATAGTACTGTATAGAACTATAAGGGCCTGAGAATTTATCTTATTTGCAAGTGGACAAGTTAGCCTGTCACAGTTTCATGGACGCTGGCAAAAGACATGAAATTCCTGGGCCAAAGACAAAGGACTTTATTACTCAAGGCACAATAGGGAATATGACCTTCATGTTTGTGTTGTTTGCCTTGTTCTCCCCTCCCACTCCAACCCCTACAGGGATTTCATAGATAATTAGGTAGATGCTGTGCACATAGTGGGTTTGCGTCCTGGCTGAAGGACCTTGAACTTAGTGTGTTCCTGAATTTTTTAATAATGAGTTGCAAGTAAACCTGCTCTTTTTCCAGAGGGAGAACTTACCTGTCTTCCAAGGCTATTCACCATGTAGATACCTTTGAAAAGATAGTCCAGAACAAAAGGTTTTTGTCTCACTCACAAAACGTACAGAAATGTAAGAGACCTATGGAGAATTACCTCCAAAGTTCAGTTACCAAAATGAAGAAATGAACATTGGTACAGTACTATTTTTCTTTTCAACTTTTAAGTTCCAAGGTACATGTGCAGGATGTGCAGGTTTGTTACATAGGTAACATGTGCCATGGTGCTGCACACATCAACCCATCCCCTAGGTATTAAGCCCAGCATCCATTAGCTATTCTTCCTGATGCTCTCCCGCCCCCTGCTCTCCTGACAGGCCCCAATATGTGTTATTCCCCATGATGTGTCTGTGTGTTCTCATTAGTCAGCTCCCACTTATAAGGGAGAACATGCAGTGTTTTGTTTTCTGTTCCTGCATTAGTTTGCTGAGGATAAAGCATCTAGCTTCATCCATGTCCCAGTAAAGGACATAATCTCATTCCTTTTTATGGCTGCATAGTATTCCATGGTGTATATGTGCCACATTTTCTTTATCCAGTCTATTATTGATGGGCATGTGGGTTGATTCCATGTCTTTGCTATTGTGAACTGTGCTGCAGTGAACATACACGTGCATATATCTTTATAACAGAATGATTTATATTCCTTTGGAAATATACCCAGTAATGGGACTGTTAGGTCACATGATATTTCTGCTTCTGGATCTTTGAGGAATTGCCCCATTGTCTTCCACAATGGTTGAACTAATTTATACTCCCACCAACAGTATAGAAGTGTTCTTTTTTCTCCACAACCTCACCAGCATCTGTTGTTTCTTGACCTTTTATTTATTGTTATTTATTTATTTACTTATTTATTTATTTGGGGGGATGGAGTCTTGCTGTGTTGCCCAGGCTGGAGTGCAGTGCACGATCTTGGCTCACTGCCAGCTCTGCCTCCCAGGTTCACGCTATTCTCCTGCCTCAGCCTCCTGAGTAGCTGGGACTACAGGCGCCCACCACCACGCCTGGGTTTCACTGTGTTAGCCAGGATGGTCTCGATCTCCTGACCTTGTCATCCACCCTCCTCGGCCTCCCAAAGTGCTGGGATTACAGGCATGAGCCACCATTCTCAGCCTCTGTTTTTTATTTTTTGAGATGGAGTCTCACCC